CCTTGTCTTCAACCCCCATCTTCACTCAGAATCCATCTGCAATATTGCTCTGATATGAAATCCTAAGGAAAACAGCTTTTCACATGAGCAGGCCCAGAGTTTATGATGAAGAGTTTAATGACTCCCTCAGCCACAGACCACCCAAAGCTCCAATATTGTCTGGCTTTTTAAGGGAGTGGGAAGAGAAATCCCTGCAGAACCTGAATTCTATCTGAAGTGTCAGCCTCCTAATTACAATACATTATTCCCTGCAATGGGAAGCTGAAGCTCTTCCAGAACATTATCACTGCCATAATGAAAAGTGCCATCAGCCAGGCCCTGCTCCCTCCAACTCCTCATCTCCAGAAAAATGGAGCAAGTGGCCTTCCATAAAACACAGATTAAACCTCATGTCTCCTCACACAGACACAGGTTTGTCCATCTTGGCTGAGGATATCTGTGGGTCTGATGAACTGAGAGCCACTCTGGGCTCTGCACTTCACCAAAATACTGAACATCAGCTTTGCTGCAGTTGGGGATTTCAATGGACAGGGAGTTGTCTGCCATGTGGGATTTCACAGCCTGGTTTGAAAGGTGAGAACTGAAACATCCTCCATCTCCTGCTTCAGAAGGAGGGACTGAACAGGACATCACCCACCAGCCTGGGGATGCAGCTGGGGAGAAAGTCTGAAGTTAAAGAGTCAAAGATCAGAGTGGAAAAGTTAATAGAACACACAACACCTCATTCATTCAATCCATGGAAATCCATCAGGAATAAACACCCAAGCCTTGCTCTTGGTTTTATGAAGCAGGTGCAATGTGATACTGAATCCAAGAGCCATTAAAAAACCCAAATTAAAACTCGAATCCAGAGGGATTTGTAAAGAGAAAACAGATTTGAGAAAGATACTCTAAAAGCAATGAAAGCAGTGTGGTTCCTGCAAAAGGAAAGGCAAGACAACGTGCAATTAGTAATTACAGGGGAAAGAAAAGCTGATTCAACACAGCTCATTAGAGACCACACACAAACAGGATTTAAGGGGACACACCAACGTGCCTTTAACACAACCCAGGACCATTAAGGTGCCTGAAAGCTGCAGTGCTAGGAGTGAACATCTCCGTGTCTGCCCCAGGGGCTGGAGTGGAGCCCTGGGCAGCAGCAGGAGGAGCCATCAGAGGGTCTGTGCCCCCCAGCACCACCCAGACCCCATTAGGGATTATTCCTTAGGGATGCTCCACCAGTTCCTAATCACCCAGGAGCTGCTTAATTAACCCGTTCATGATCTCCCCCAGGGGCTGAGGCAGGAGCCATGCAGGCAGCACTGGTGCTCCTGTCAGGGCTCAGGGATCAGAGGGTGAGCCCTGGGAGCCTGCAGCACTGCAGGCTGTCCCTGCAGGCCCAGGCTGCTGGCACAGCACCAACCTTGGCTTTGGTGGCAGCAGAGGCCAGGGCAGCAGCTGCAGCTGTGGCCACGTTTCCTTCCGAGATCTCGTGCTCCACTTTCTTCTTGCCAGCCTCAGCCTCTTTGTCCTTGCTGCCATCAACGTTCTCCTTGTTCTCCTCTGCCTCCTTTTCCTCTGCAAGACACCCAGCCCAGGCCGTTACACGTGCTCCCGGGATGGCAACACGCTAATTAGTCAGGCACTAATTAACTCATCCTCATCCAAATGCTGAGGGGGGAACCCCAGTTTGAGAGGGTCTGATCCAACAAATGGGGCAACATTAAATGCTTTTCATTCCCATCCCCTCAGTTCAGCACCTGCCATCAGCTCCCCCTCATTTCCACATCAACTCCATCAAATCCAAGCACTCCTTATTCTACATGCTGCTAAAATCCTGAATCTTGGATTGCAGGAGAAAAGCAGTATATCCATTGCCATCCCTGGAGTGCCCAAGGCCAGGCTGGGCAGGGCTGGGAGCACCCTGGGATGGTGGGAGGTGTCCCTGCTATGGCAGGGGTGGCACTGGATGATCCTTAAGGTCCCTTCCCACCCAAACCATACCATGACTTTAGGAGACACAGGGGAAATGACAAAAAGAATAAGGTTTTATGTAGATGTTGTTACTCCTCAGCCTGTCAAAATCCAGGCTCTGCATCACTGCCCAGGGAAACTGAGCTGAAATATTAACTTCTAATAGGGGAAGCAGAGAATCCCAGAATGGTTGGGTTGGAAGGGACCTCAAAGCCCATCCAGTGCCACCAGAGAC